GTGAGATGTTGGCTGAGAGGACTGAAGGCAGGAAGCTGAGGTGAGGAAAGAGACTATCTTAAGCATAGGAGGCAACCACTGGAAAGACAGTCAGTAGATAGAGGAACTTGACCAAGGATCAGTCAAGAGGCCAGTGGCCCTGGGTCAGAGGGTAAGTGGCAGGGGCTGGGGTGGGGGGGCATAATAAGAAAACTAGAAGGGGGTCTGAGGCTGGTTATATGTACTTACTATGTGTCACTTTGTGCACCTTATACGTTTTCTCTCATTTGATCCTGTTTAAAAATTGTCAGGGTCCTTGCTAGCAACAGCCCAAATAAGGCAGCGGAGTTTGTAGCCAGGCAGGTGCATTGTCCATTTTTGTATCCACTCAGAGGGCAACATACTCCATGTTCGTGAGTAGGGGATGGACACCAGTGACCTCTTACACACACACACACACACACACACACACACACACACACACACACACACACACGTGTCACTTTGAAAGGATTGGATTTAAAGTTTTGAGAGCAATGTTCATTCATGGTATTGGCTTGGGGTTTACTTTCTGTGTTTTGACTTTCCCAGGTTTAGAGATTAGGTCTATATTTCTCTTGGTAGGATACTTTCCTATTTTAGGGAATCATTTGTGAAATTTAGGAAATCAGTTCTTTCCAAATTTGATTGAATTTTCCTATGAATCTATCTGAACTTGAAGGTTTGGTAGTTTGGTTTTGGGTTTTTGTTTTGTTTTGTTTTGTTTTGTTTTTTGGTTCATTTACATCTAAGCCTATTTCCCTTTCTGAGATCAGGCTATTTAATATATCTGTCTGGTCTTCTGATAATTGGAGCATTTCCTGGTTTTCGAGGTATTACTCCATTTTTTGCATAAAACTCAGTTTCTTTATCATAAAACTACATACTATGTTGTGATTATCCTTTTTATTTATTCTGATTTTGCTATGATTTTACCTTTGTCATTGGCTCTTTTATTGATTTGATCTTCTGCTCTCTTTAATCAGATTAGCTATGAGTTTTTATCAACTTTATTAGTCATTTCAAAGAACCCATTTTTAGTTTTATTTGCCATTTCTATTTTTTGTTTCCAATTTATCTATTTCTCTTCTATTTTTTATATCTTTTCTTTTATGCTTATCTTAGGTTCATTTGTTTTTCCTAATTTTTAAAGTACATAGTCAGTCTTCCCTTTTTCTATATTCTTAAGGTATGATTGTAAAGCCATGTTGTCCCCGTGAGGACTGCTTTAGCTGAATCCCAGAAATTTTGGCTTGTTGTTTCATCATTATCATCTTCTTTTACAAAGTTATCATTTCTGTATTTTGTTCTTTGACTCGGTTGTCCTTTGATATGTGATTGCTAAGTTTCCATTTGGGTTTGTGTATTTTTGTTTGTGGTCCCTGAACCTATTTCCCTTCTTATTTCATTATGGAATGAAAGGATGTGTTGCTTAATTCTGTCTTTTGACATTTGTTTAAAGTATCTCTGTGCCCTAGCTGCAAAGAAATATGCATATTCCTTTGTTATCCTATTTAGAAGATGCCATGTCTTTTAACTTTAATTTCTCCAGAAATTTTATTGTCTCTCTGCTTTCACCTCATTCTACATTTCTTCCCTCTCCTTTTTTCCTCTCAGCTACTCATAGATTTCTCTTCCTCTCTTCCCCTTCAGCTAGTCCTGTTCATTACTCTTTGAATTTCATCCATTTTTCTTCTCCTTTCCAACAAGGATTTCTCTCCCTTTCTTCATGGTCCCTCATCTTTTTCTGTTTTACCCAGATTTTCCCTGGGCATAAAATGTGTTCAGGAAAGAGTAATATCTCTGATTGATGATGGTCTGTTGAGAATACCATGGAAGTATTTAGCTTTTCTCTCCATGTCCTTGTCAGTAATCAAGATGGCTCTATCAGTACTGAGTAATTGAGAGACACTATACATCTTTGGCCCATAAATAGCATTCAGGACATCATGAAAGCACTTTGGATTATCACTGTCAAAGTAAAACTGAATTTCACCTGCCTTCTTACTGAGCCAAGAATTGTGTATCTCTCTAAGCTTTGCTTGTTCTTTACTTTTGATGGAGTTAAAGGCTGCCTTCTTAGAGATGGATGAACTATGCTGCTGGTAAACACTAAGGAGTTCTCGTTTCTCATTTAGCAGCTTTTGAATTTCCCCATCATTTTTGTCAAACTGGTCTTTTTTTTTTTTTTAGGCAACTGGGCTTAAGTGACTTGCCCAGGTTCACACAGCTAGTATGTATCAAGTGCTTGGTCTGAGGCTGGATTTGAGCTCAGGTCCTCCTGACTTCAGGGCCAGTGCTGTATCCACTGCACCACCTAACTACCCCCATCAAGCCAGCCTTGATGTTTTTGAATGTTCTCACTCGGATAATTACATGCTGTGCTATACACCAAATGTCTGAAAGCTGCCCGCTCTTTTCTGTTCCACTGTTGTCAACTGTGTGTTGGCTCAACTTTCTCTCCAAGCGAGCAACAAACTGTTCCTCTAATCCGTTGACATTAAGTCTTCTGGTAGTCATCTTGTCTTGGGGCTACTGCTTTTGTCGAATGCCAATATACAGCTTGGAGAGGCTAAGTCTGTGATCAGACCAGCACTCTGTGCCACACACTGACTTAGTCACTCTCACATCCTGTCTGTCTCTTCTCCTTACAATCACCTAGTCTATTAACATGCCAGTGTTTGCTGCGAGGGTGCATCCATGAAGTTTCATCGTATATAGGGAAACGGAAGACGGTGTTGGTGATGAGAAGGTCACGAGACGCACAAGTCTTCCACAGTAAGCGATCGTTGCTGTTGCTGTTTCCCGTTCTGCTCCTCCCAAGGACTCCCTGGCGTTGGTCAGAGCCTAGTCTAGCATTAAAGTCACCCAGAGTTATATCAGCCTGTCCTCTTGTGGCACATTGGTGATAAGTGTCTCTAGGTCCTCGTAACATTTTTCTTTGACCTCGTCAGGGTTTGTCATGGCGGGAGCACAGGCACTGATGAGGGTGGTGGGGTGCTTTCCTGCGAGTGGCAATCATACTGTCATGAGCTTTTCATTCACTCCTTTTGATAAGTGTATGAGCTTGTTCACTAGATTCTGACTGCAAACCCTGCGCCGGTTCACAGCGCTCCCCTTCACTGCCGGCACTCCAGAAAAATGTGTATCCAGCTCCAACTTGAGTAAGCCAGCCTTCGTTTGCTAGCCTTGTTTCACAAAGGGCTGCTATTTGTATATGATACCTGCTGAATTCTCTTGCAACAATAGCTTTTCATCTGCCAGGTCTACTGCATTTTGTTGTCCATAACTGTACATGCATTCCATGTACTGATAGTGGAATCATATTTGCAGAAGTTTTTGTGCTGTGTGTGTGTGTGTGTGTGTGTGTGTGTGTGTGTGTATTTTGACCACAAGGTGGGATCCTGCCATGGTAAACAGGCCAGGGTTAAGTAAGCAGATAATTTTTAGGTCGCCTCTTCTGGCCGCTTCCTCACACCAGGAAGTGAGCAGTGCGGTCCTTAAAAGGCTCCTCAGACACCCAGGGGGCTGCCAAATCCCACTGGTGCTTCCAGTGAGTAGATGACCCTGGGCCTGGGCCACCTGTGTGTGGGGTTGTGACTGTGGCTTCCAGTGTATCCACACCTGCTGCTTCATCACTTGTCTGTCGCCACAGGACTCTGAGATGGGTAATGGTAAAATGGTACAGGAGATGTCTTTTGACTCACACACAAATTGGATTTAAGTGAGACAAAGTTGCTTGAAGTCATAGGCCTCACTTTCTCTTCCATAGATGTCACAGTCCAATGGCAGGACAGTCAAGATGACTAGTGATGATTCGAGATTCACTGGATGACTTTGGTGTCTTTGATATCTAACCAAGCTCTATGGCGGTTGGAACAAATTGTTCTCATCCACCTATTCCACCAGGGGAAGTCTTCACATGCTTGGAGTAGACACCCCCCTAACTCACCAATGGGTTTGACACCCCTTGGTTGCCCTCAATATGGTTTAACTGTCTGCCAAAACAGTTTACCAGGGTGTGGTCGCTAAACTGTAGCTTCTTGGAGCCACAGGTGAGATTGTGTGGATCCAATAAACACCAAAGGTAGAAAGCAGTCCTGGAAAGGACTCAGCAGCCCCCATACCAGAGGTACTAGTCTTCCCTGGAAACATGGTATACCCTAATAAGATAGAGTTATTCTGATCCAATTACCTTTAATCACAGTTCCTAATGTCCAATTTTAAGTCTGTTTTGCCTTAACGTCTGGTCCACTTGTAGAGGGTCAAACATCACAGTTACAATGGGAGAATTCAGTCCAATCCAATGTGGATTTACAGATGGCATACAGCATCCCAATTTTCCAAAGAGCCATTTGCTTTCAGCTCCTCAAAGTACAGAGTATATTGCTTTCAGTTAGTCTGATGTTGAAGTTTTATCCTGGCAGTCTTTCTGCTCAGAAGGAGGAGGGGGTGAGTCTGGAAGGGAGGGAGGGAAGGAGGTGGTGGAGGCGCTGGAGGGGAGAAGCTTACAGAGATGACCAGGATAGTGGTGTTTCAGTTGGGGGCAGGGTGGAGTTTAGAGCCCTGAGAGGATTTAGGGTGGAAGATGGGATCATTGCAGTGGAGAAGGCATTCCATGTGATGAAGGACAAGGGTTAGGGAGGAGAGGCAGTCTGGGTCCCCGAGTCCTGGCCCTGGGTGTGATTGGAGGAAAGGGCCCAACTACCTCAGGGCCTCAAGGGCTGGACATGGTGGTGCTCTTTGGAATAGGAAAACCTTCCTAGAGTGTGCTGGCCAGAAGGAGGAAGGCTTTGAACTGAGACTGCTCTGCCTTCCCTAGAGCTCAGATCTCTGATTTCTTCCCTTAGAGCAGGGATAGCTCTGCCTCGCCTTGGAGCTGAGATCACTCCATCTTCCCAGAAGTTGAGATCTATCTGCCTTCTCTTGGAGATGAAATCTCTCCCTTCTCATGTGGCTGAGATTGTTCTTCCTTCCTTTAGAGCTGAGATCTCCCTGAATTCCCTGAAGCTGACATCGCTCAGCCTTCTGGAAGACAGCTGCGTGCGTGCAAGTCCCAGGTAGGTCTGAGCCAGAGCTCCCCAAATTTCCTGACTTCTGCTGGCTGCCCTTGCCTTGGGTTTCATTCTCCTCATCTGACCTCATTGGTGAGTGTCCTCCAGGTCTGCCAGGTGCACACCTTCCCTGGCTACTGAATGAGCTCCCCACCCCTAAATCTTTTTCCAGACTCCCAATCACTTCCCAAACTTTATGGCTCACTCTCTCCAGATTTACCATTGGGTAATACTTTTCCAGACTTCAGACTTTACCCATAGGAATCTGGAAGTCCTGTTTCAGCCTTCCTATCAGGACTCAGGCTTCCTGTCTCCCTATCCCCTTCACAGAGGTAGCTAATTAGCACAATGGATACAACACTGGGCTTGGAGTCAGGAACACTAGTTAGTCTTCATGAGTTCAAATCTGGTCTCAGACACTTACTAGTTGTGTGACCTTGCCAAGTCACTTAACTCAGTTCTTCCTCAAATGGACTAGAGGCCCTCCTCAGGTCTATCCAGGCCAGGCTTCATCCAGGTCTCCTTCTAGGATTTGGAGTGTTGGGCTTGAGAGGCCCCATGGTGGAGTGGAAGACGAGGTCAAGTCCTAACTGGCATTCATTGGGTGTGTGGCTCTGAGCACCTCACTGATCCTGTCTGTACCTCTGTTTCTTCATCAATAAGATGAGAATAACATTTCATTGTCAGTGATACTAAGGCTACTAAGAAGCCAGATATCTTGTTTTATACTTATGAACTACAGGGAGACCGTCAGGAAAGGAAGAAGGCAAAGCCAAGGTCCTTATAGGGCAAACTGAGCTTTCAGATCGAAAGGCCTTTGCCAGACCTGACCCTAGCCCAAATATATGGGATTCTAAAAGGATGTTGACCCAACAATTACTCCCAATGGACAGTGTCAACATCAATGTGTATTGAGTAACTCCTTGATATGAATCAACCATAACTGTGGGGAAAATCAACATCACAAAATTTGAAAGTCCTTTGGGCCCTCAGAGGTCACCTAGTCTAACCAGTGATGTCAAACTCAAACAGAAATGATTGTTATTGTTGTTATTCAGTCATTTTCAGTCATGTCCAACACTCTGTGACCCCATTTGGGTTTTCTTGCCAAAGATACTGGAGCACTTTGCCATTTCCTTCTCTATCTCATTTAATTTTTTTTAATATAAATTTATTTATTTTTAGTTTTCAACATTCACTTCCACAAGTTTTTGAGTTCCAAATTTTCACCCCATCTCCCCACTCCCCCCACCCCAAGATGGCATGCATTCTGAATATCCCTTCCCCTAGTCTGTCCTCTCTTCTATCTCTCTCCCCTTCTCTTATCCCCTTCCCCTTCTGTTTTCCTGTAGGGCAGGATATCTCCCATTTATTCTATTCTTTCTTTTGACCCTGTCCCTCCTCAGAAGTATTTACTTCTGATTACCCCTTTCCCAATATGCCCTCCTCTCTATCATCCCCCTGCTCTCTTGTCCTCTTCTCCCCCTATTTTCCTGTAGGGTAAGACACACTTCCATACCCAATTGAATATGTATGTTATTCCTCATTAAGCCAAATCCTGTGAGAATAAGATTCACTCATTCCCTCTCACCTTCCCCTGTTTCCCCTCCACTGTGAGAGACTTTTCTTTTCTTTTTTTTGTGAGATAATTTACCCCATTCTACCTCTCCCTTTCTTCTTCTCCGAGTATAATCCTCTCTCATCCCTTAACTTTATTCTCCAGATATGACCCCTTAATTTTCAACTCACCCTGTGCCCTCTATCTATCTACATATACATACATATAATTTTTTTCCTCCAACTACCCTAATACTGACAAAGGTCTCATGAGTTATAAATATCTTTCCATGCAGGAATGTAAACAGTTCAATCTTAATAAGTCTCTTATGATTTCTCTTTCCTGTTTACCTCTTCATGTTCCACTGGAGTCCTGTATTTGAAAGTCAAATTTTCTATTCAGCTCTGGTCTTTTCATCAGAATGCTTGAAAGTCCTCTATTTCACTGAATGACCATTTTTTCCCCTGAAGGATTATACTCAGTTTTGCTGGGTAGGTGATTCTTGGTTGTAATCCTATCTCCTTTGCCCTCCGGAATATTATATTCCATGCCCTGCGTCCTTTAATGTAGAAGCTGCTAAATCTTGTGTTATCCTGATTGTGTTTCCACAGTACTTGAATTGTTTCCTTCTGGCAGCTTGTAATATTTTCTCCTTGACCTGGGAACTCTGGAATTTGGCTATAATATTCCTAGGAGTTTTCCTTTGGGGATCTCTTTCAGGAGGAGATCTGTGGATTCTTTCAATTTCTATTTTGCCCTTTGGTTCTAATATATCAGGGCAGTTTTCCTTGATAATTTCTTGAAAGATGATGTCTAGGCTCTTTTTTTGATCATGGCTTTCAGATAGTCCAATAATTTTTAAATTCTCTCTCCTGGATCTATTTTCCAGGTCAGTTGTTTTTCCAATGAGATATTTCACATTGTTTTCTAATTTTTCATTCTTTTGGATTTGTTCTACTGTGTCATGATTTCTCTAAAGTCACTATCTTCCAATTGCTCTATTCTAATTTTTAAGGAAGTATTTTCTTCAGTAATCTTTTGGACTTCCTTTTCCATTTGGCCAATTTTGCTTTTTAGGGCATTTCTCCTCATTGGCTTTTTGGACCTCTTTTGCCATTTGGGTTAGGCTATTTTTAAGGTGTTATTTTCTTCAGTATTTTTTTGGGTCTCCTTTAGCAAGCTGTTGACTTGTTTTTCATGATTTTCTTGCATCATCTCAGTTTTTCCTCTACTTCCCTTACTTGCTTCTCAAGATCCCTTTTGAGCTCTTCCAAGGCCTGGGACTGATTCATATTTTTCTTGGAGGCTTTGGATGTAGGAGCTTTGACTTTGTTGTCTTCTTCTGGTTGTATATTTTGATCTTCTTTTTCACCAAAGTAAGATAATATAGTCTGACTCTTTTTGTGCTGCTTGCTCATGATCCCGGCCAATTACTTGAGTTTTAAACTCTTTGTTAAGGTAAGAATCTGCCTCCAATGTGGACAATGTACTGTGCCAAGCTTCGGGGGTTTGTATAGCTGTTTTCAGAGATACTTGTAGGGACCTGTAAATTTTCAGTTCTTCCAAGGTGGTATGATAAGGAGCGAGGTGTTTACTCCTTTCCTGGCCTGTAACCACAGGTACTCCTTTCTGTTCTGTAACTGTGAGGAGGGGTTCTTCTCCACAGTGACTACAAGCTCCACCATGCCAGCACTCCTCCTCACCCCAGCACCACTGCCCAGAACTGTGACCCAGATCCACACACGGGCAAAGCAAGAGATTCCTGCCTCAGCACTGGCAAAGAGATCCCTTCAGTCCCTCTCTGATCAGCCACTGGATTCCCCCTCAGTCTGTGGGCCAGAAGCTCGGAAAGCAGCTGCCCCCCCAGTGCCACGCTCTTGGGGAATGGAGCTGAAACCCTGCCTTCCTTTCTCAGCACCGAAAGAAACAGACTTTTCCCACTGACCTTCTAAGTTGTCTTTGGTGTTGGTGGATTGAGGAGTCTGGAAACCTCCACAGCTGCCCGAGATTCAGTCCTCTGAGACCTGCTCCAGGTTTGCTGCAGCCTGCCGCGCTGCACTCCCAGCCTGGCGCGATACACCTTTCTGATCAATCATCCAGGTTGTCTTGGGCTGGAAATTTGTTTCACTCTGTCTTTTTGTGGGTTCTGCTGCTTCAGAATTTGTTTAGAGCCATTTTTTGAAAGTATTTGGAAAGGTTTGGACGAGAGCTCAAGCAAATCACTGCTTTCACTCAGCCATCTTGGCTCCGCCCCCTCTCCATCTCATTTTACAGATGAGGCAAACAGTGAAGTAACTTGCCCAGGGTCACACAGGTACTAAATGTCTGAGGCCAGATTTGAACACAGGAACATGAATCTTCATGCTGCAACCTTGCACTCCATCCACTGCACCACCTGGCTGCCCCCAAATAGATGGGGGAGCCATGTGTCTATACTTAAGGATCACTACAGGCCATATACTGACTTAGTTTAAAATGAAAGGTAATCTGCTTTATTGTGTTTTCATGTCTTTGTTAAATATCTCCCAACTACTCTAACCTGCTTCCCAAAGCATTTCACCACACTGCAGCCAGGCAGCAGGCTGTGCATTTGAGCCCTCTGGTCAAACCTACCCCTGCATGGAATCCTCACACTAACAAAGCCCACAAGGGTGCGTCACTCAGTCCCTCCAAGGCTGGGCCTCCTGGAGCAGCCCCTCCTGCTTATGGACACCTGTGATGGTTAAGAAGGGGATTTGGAAAGCTGGACTCTAGGGGGGTCACAGAGTTTGGAGGTCAAGGTCAGAAGAGCAACTCCATTTCTATGGGAGATGTTTCATATTTCAGTGAACTAATTATTCATTAGAGAAGTAAAAGCAGTATTTTTGTCCTGCTCCTTGTAAGCCACATGGGGACAGAAGTCTTGTGAGAAAAGACAAGTCCCCCATGTACAACCCTCCACAACTGGATGACCAAGGCAAGAGGAAGCTTCAGGCCTCAAAGAAGAAGATAGCTCCACCCCCTTGAAGCTCTTTTCCTACTTCAACCCCAGGGCCCCTAAATCATGTCTGGCCAAGGGATAAGATGGCTTAGAGCCCAGGGGAGATCGTCCATCCACTTATTATCACAAAATCCCCTGCCTTCTTAGATGAAGAGGCCCAGAGAGAGGCTGGGAACCTTCTGCTGTAAAGCTATATCCTAGCCACTTAGAGTGTGGTACAAGCAACACATGTCCGCATGACCCAGGATCTGACCTGACATATTTGTAGCAAATGTTCTCTCTTAATTATCACATTATCAGCTAAGAGACAGTAGGGCCTAAGTCTCTGCTGCTTCTACCACTTTGAGACTACCTTCCTTAGATCAATTAATAATAGTAATGGGAAACTCTCACACAGGGATTTTAGAACAAGGGAGCAAAACTTGGGTGGCCACGGACAAGGAAAAGTTAATTGTCTGGTGCTAAGCTGAGATGGTGATTATATGATGGGAGAGAAATATAAATACTTAAAACATTCTTCTTTTTTGGAAACAAATGCTAGGGCAGAACAAAACAGGGAAAGGCAAATGTTCCCAGCAGCGTGGATCATTCCAAAGGAGAAAGGAAAGCAGGGGAGGAGGGAAGTCATACGTGGAGATCAATCAACTGGCTCTAACCACGTACAGGATCGGAACTCCAGGGGGTAGAGAGGGGGCAGGGGCTTCTTTCTATTTAGAAACTAGATATTCCCTCCTTCATTAACTCCAAACGGAAGCCCTTCCTTTCCTCATAGGGGAAGAAGAGCCCCACTCTGGGACAGTCTAAAAGGGGGACCAGGCAGTCACTCCCTGCAGTGGCTATTACCAACAGAGATGGAGCCCCAAGGTCCTGGAAGGGCCCTGAGCAGAGACCACAGAAGCCCTTAGGGAAAAGCCCCTGCAGTGAAATAAAAGCAGGGACACACACACAAGGGGGGAGGAAAATGCCAACAAAATATAACTGGAACTCCCTAAAAGTCCATGCTGACAGTGGCCTATGGGCCCACAGCCTGCTTGGGCATTATTCCAGTTCCAGGAGGAGAATGCAGAAGGAGAAGCTCTGGAACAAGTCGCAATATACCATGTCCACAAGTGCACCCCAGCAGTACAAATCAAAGAGAAGCATCTGCACCCTCACCATGTACAATACACTGGCCCTCCCCCAGGCTGCTTCCCTTCTCAGCCCCAGCCCCCACCTGCACTCACAGACTCAGCAGAGCAAATAAAAGGATTCCCAGATGTCTCCAAACTTTCTTTTATTTTCCTGTCATGTGGCCAGAACATCTCCACATTGTCATCCTGTCCCCCAAAATCCCCCACCCAAATGTAAAGCTTCGCTGAGATTGTGGAGAAAACCTGAAATTTCAAGAGCAATAATTCACTGGGCTGTTTGTGCAGTCAGAAAAAGATCCCAGAGGTCAGCGCAACGTCCAATGTGAAGGAGGGCTCGTTGCCAAAACCCCCTGGCCCTCACTGCTGGTTGTCTCTGCAGAGTGAGATACCTAGAAACAAGGTAGGGGAGGGAGGCCTTAGAGAACAGGGTGAGGGCCCTAATGATGCTTCCCTGGACTTGGGCCAGTAGAGTCCAAAGACGATCCCAGGGGCCAGTGCTGGGGAGAAAAGCCAGGGGTCCACAGGAACAACACAGGGACTGGAGACTTGTTTTCTTCCTCAGGTCCATACCAGCACTTCTCTCAAGCTGAAGAAGGAAAGACAGATTCAGGGAGACCCTCCAAGTCCCTTCTGGCCTCCAGCCTCTCATCATTCTGAAGGGCCTGCCTCACCACCCATCCAACTCTCAGCCCAACCTCTCACCCACCCTCCTTTTTGCTTGGCCCCCTTTACCCCAGCCCTTCTATCCTTCCAGGCCCACCTTTGGCTGGAAGGGAGACATCTGACCCCTGTACACTGTCACTGCCTGGAGACAAAGGAGGGAAATGACCCAGTCATGGACATACATTCTAGAACCAGGATATGGGAAGAGAAGGAGACACAAGGAAAGGCTACTTGGCTAAGCCTCTCCTCTGCCTTCTCATTGCTCAGGTCCCTGAGATACCATAGGCTTCTTTCTACCCTCCACATCAACCCTTCACTTACCTGCAGCCTGAACACACTCCCCTCCTTTTCCACCTGGAAAACAAAAATATTTCCAGTGAGGAATCCGGGAGAGCAGACCACATTAAGGTCTCAGGAGTTCACTGGTTTCTCTTGGAGACACAACAAATTACAACTGAGACTGCACCCCCATCCCCCACTCCAGTCTAGCCTCTGGATCCAACAGGAAGAGAAAAAAGAGGCCCCCCCACGTGGGCACTTCCCCACCTCCAGACCTGCCTCCAGGGGTTCCCAAGGCTGGTCTACAGCTCCCAGCTGGGGGACACCCAGGCCCTCTGGCAGAGATCCCCACATGCATTTCTGATCTGAGTCTGAAGGAGATTCCCCACTAGGCCAGCCTGTTATACCCCTGCCAGGCATCCTCCAGATAAATGGCTTCTAGTGAGGGATTTGTTCAGCTGGAGTCTTAGGACCCATCTGAGAGTCCCTTAGATGGAAAAGAGGACTTGGGGACAGAAAGACAAGCTGCGGGTCAGGGGAAGCCAGGATCTCCACAGAGCCTGCTCCCTAAGGACCCCCACCTAGTCCTGCCCACCTGAAGTCTTCCTCCAGATCACAAATCCAGCGATGACTGCAATGGTGAGGAGGAGGACAGCAATGCCCCCCACAATGTACCAGATAGAGGAGGACTCTGGCTCTGAAATGGAAAAGCACAATGAGAGGCCTGATCCCTCTGGGGCCTCAGAGTCACTAACCCCTCCCCCACCTCCCCCAGGTCTTTTGGGGGTGTGGGGGATGGCCTTCCCCAGCCCCTCCTCACGGTCCTTACCCCACTTCAGGGTGAGGGGCTCAGGCAGTCCCTTGTGGCAAGTATATTTCCCTTCCAGGCCTGAGGTCACTCCACACCTGCCCACTTCTGGAAGGTCCCGTCCCATGGGCCTGGTCTCAATGAACTCTGTATCCTGGAGTTGTTCCTCCCCATCCCTCAGGTCAGGGAGATGTCCTCAGGGTAGAAGTCCTGGGCCCAGCACCGCAGGGTCACCTCCCCGTGGGGGGCAGTGTGGCGGGTCACTCGGGCAGAGGGCGGGTCTGGAGGCAAAGGTCAGCGGCATGGCCAGGCTCTCCTTCCTTTCCCTCCAGAAGCACAAGGATGTGTGGGGGCAGGGGGACACCCCGCAATCCGGGCCCTGGGGTAGAAGGAGTGCCCGGGGGTCAGGAGCCCGGGGGCTGAGTCTGCAGGGGAGGGAGAAGGGTGGCGGGGGCCTTGAGTGCCACGCACGGGGTACCTGTCCTCTTCAGCATCTCCTTCCCCATCTCCAGGTGCTTCTTCAGCCACAGCACGCACGTCTCCTCCAGGTAGGCTTTAACTCCCTCCGCGATGCTCTTTTCTGCCTCCCACTTGCGCTTCGTGTTCACGGCCTGAGGCACCGCCACCGTCCACGTGGAGGTCGTAGGCGTGTTGACCAAACCCGCGCTTAAAGGTGAGCTGGGGGGGGGGAGACCTCGCAGCCGAACATGCGCTGGAGGGTGTGGACCCCTGCCCCGCCCCCGGCCCGGGTTAGCAGCCAGACTCTGGCCCATCCCCTGCCCCGCCCCCACGCGGGTCCTCCAGCCCTGGGATCCCCCCCCGTGGGAGCCTCCGTGACCTTGGGCCGGCTCGGCCCCGCCCCTCACCACTCCGCTCCCGCCCACGTCACGCACCAGCCTCGCTCTGATTGAAGTAGCCGAGGGCGGTCTGCAGGTCCACGCGGTAACTCTGTGCGTTCGCCCTGACGATCCGCGTCTGCCCCTCCCAGTAATCGGGGTCCTCCTGCTCTATCCACACCGCCCGCGGCTCCATCCTCGGGCTCGCGCGGGCGCTGTCGAAGCGCACGAACTGCTGATCGTCCACGTAGCCCACGGCGAGGAACCGCGGCTCCACGAGCTCGGGCGAGGCCATGGCGGCGTCGAAGTACCTCAGGGAGCGAGAGCCTGGACGTAGGGACCCGGGCTGGGGTCAGGGAGGTAACCGCGTAGACCCGGCCCCGGAGGCCCCGTGTCTGAGGCCAAGGCCGGGGTGACCCTCGACCCTGGACCAATCAGGGGTCGTGACCCTTGACCCGGTCGCAACGGAGGTGTGAGCCCGTGCCAACTCGGGGCGCGACCTTGGCGCCGTCGCAAAAAAAACTGTGACCCTTGACCCCGCCACGCCCGGGGTGTGACCCCGGACTCCTCACCCCGCCGCCCGGCATCCCAGCCCCTCTGCCCCCGACACTGATGGCGCACGGCGCCGGGAAGTAATAACTCTCGAGACGATCCCGCTTGGAGATCTGCAAAACGCCTTCACTGACGGCCTTGGCAGGTCCTAGTGCCCCTTCGCAAGGACCTTGCCCCGTCCCCCGGTCCCAACCTCTGGTCCGGCTCCTGGGTCTCTCACGCTCCTCACCCCCAGCCACCACCTAGAGTCCTCCTTTGCCCCCGGCCTCATCCCCCCCCCACCACGATCCTCCGTGAAGCTCTTTAACAGAGCTGCTCCTGGTTCTCTGTCCTCGCCCTTGGATGGGGGGCGGGGCTCCCGGACACCTCTGCTCCTTAACGCCCCCCCCAGAACTGTCGCACCCATTCTCCCTCCTGGCTCCTCTGCTCAATGCCACTCGTCCTCACCCCCACCCACCAATCCACTCCCCCCAAACTAAGGGACCGACACCAACACCCCCTCCCCCCTCTGCCAAAGCCCAGCTAAGGGACTCGTCCCCGAGTCACTCACACACACACACACACACACACACACACACACGCGCGCGGGCGCGCGCGCGCCCTTCTTCCTTTCAGCACCACCCTGACTTCACCTGACATTAAGGACCTGGTTTCCTGGAAACCCACCCTGGGCTGGTGCCGGAGGAGCCTTCTTTAGGAAACCCCATCCCACCCACATGTCCAGTCTCCAGGCGGCCGTTTAATTCGATTCTCTACTTGCCTGCCCAGGTCTCCTTCAGGGCCAGGGTCCCCAACAAAAAGAGACAACGCACTTAAGGCTCCATGGTCCACAGAGAGAACTGAGACCAGTCTGCGCCGGATTTGTAGAGGGGCGAATCCCTAACTTGTGGTTGGCTTCACGGAGGCTCCGCCGGCCAATAGCAAACGAAAGACTAAAAACGTCATTGGTGGCTGGGCAGAATGAGCTCTCACAGGTTAGGAGACCAAAACTGAAACTGACTCGGAGGAAATCCCCAGTTTTGCAGACCTTCCCTCTTTCTGTGTCATCCCCAGAACAGCCTCTGAATCTATGGAGCCCCCGAGCCTTCTGCCCTCCAGGAGCACGAGGCTTTTGTGCTCCCAGCTTGAACCAGAGAAAAAAAGGTCCCAGCCTTTAGCCCTTCTCTGCTGGCCTTCCGACCCCCAGCCCTCCTCAGTGTGGCCCTTTCCCCTCCTTGAAGTGAGGAAGACACTGTCCCCACCCAAAATTGAGGCTGTCTGAGGACTGAAGAAATCTGCAGGCTGATTTGTGGAGGGGTGTGTTGCCACCTCCTTTTAATGACCTCCATCTCATCTGTGACTCAGGGAAGTCTTAGTAGCTGTGTAGATAAGTGAGCAAGAGACCTAAGAATAAAGACTAAATCAGAGTCCAGTAAATGGAATTTGGAATCGGAGTAGAAGTCTTTGTCTCACTTAAAAGCAGCAGGTATGTGCCCCAGTGGATGGATCCCAGGGCTTGGAGACAGGAAGACCCGAGTTACGATCTAGGCCTAGTCACTGAGTCAGTTTGCCTCAGTTTCCTCATCTGAAAAATGATCTGGAGAAGGAAATGGCAAACCACTCCAGTTTCTTTGATAAGAAAATCCCAAATGATGTCACAAAGAGTCAGACACAGTAACAACAAAAGGAAAGAGCTTAATTATTAAAATGGGCAGGATACATTTTCAGCCTAAGGTTGGTTCTGAACTGCCTGAAATATGAAGGTGTGAATCCCCAGTGACCATTTTTTCACAAACAAGGAACCTGGGCATATTTGGTTGGGTTTTCTCTCTTTCTTGTCTCATCACCTGATCTAGGAAACTATTAAACTCCAAATTTTAAAGAGTATAAAGTTACCCCTGAAAGGATCTTAGAGATAATCTCCTTCATTTTACAGAGCAGGAAACTGAAGGCCAATGA